TAATGAGGTGGTCGTTCACTGAAAGTATGTGATGCTGCAGATTTGGTTTAAACAATAAAGCAGGAGTTTATTATGCAAAAGTAATGAAGATGAAATAGAAAAGACCAAACTATTTACATATAAAACACATTTTAAATACATTTTAGAGATTTTGTAACATGCCATCATTACATTACATCCAGCAGTTCCCCTTTATCCACAGCACAAGTTACTAAATTTGGTTAAGCATGATTTCCTTTCATAAACCATGTTCATTCTGCCTGATTGCATTCATGTTCCCAAGTGCCCTGCTACAATTTCTTAATTAATAGGTTCTAGCACTTTCCTTATAACAGATGTTATAAAATAATGGTGGAACAGGCTTGAGGGGCTGAGTGGCCTACTCATGTTCCTATGATCTTACTAAGCTAACTGGTCGGTAGTTTCCTGCTTCCTTTTTCCCTCCCTTTTTGAATAAAGCAGTTAATCTCACTACTTTCAATCTACAGGATCCTTCCCCAAATCAAGGGAGTTTTAAATAATTAGAACTAATGCATCAACTCATTAATCATTACTTTTCAGACCCTGGCATAAAGTCTATCAGGAGTCATGGATTTGTCAGTCTGCAACTCCAGCAATTTCCTCAGTATCTCTTCTGTGGCGATTCTATCTTTTATTTTTGAGTTCCTCCTTCCTTTCTATTTCCTGATTTACAGCTATTCCTGGAATGATACTTGTATCTTCTATTGTGAAAACTGATGCAAAATACCAAATCTTCAATTTATCAATCATCTCCTTATCTTCCCCAGACTTTCTGTTTGACAGAACCCCACTCACTTTGATTTTAAAAAAGAATAAAGCTAATGAAAACGCCTATGACCAGTTCTTTTACTTCCAGCTAGCTTTCTCTCTTACTCTTATTTTCCCCTGTTATTGAATATTTGTCATTCTTTGCCTTTTATGTTCTGTGTAATCTTTTAATTGCCACCGATCTTTATACAATTTTATGTGTTTTCTTTAAGTTTGATAGTATCTTTAACTTTTCTAGTTAAGAGGGAGTGGCAGGTCCTTCCCCTAGATTTTTTTCTGTCTGTGGAGTGTAATCATTCAGTATTCCTTGTTATATCCACTTAAAGGTCTGCCATTGGTATTCTATTGACCTACTCCTTAACCTAATTTGCCAGTTCACTTTACCTAGATCTGTTTTCATACCCAATGCCCTTGATGTAATACCTTAATGTGCTAAAAATAAAGTGCAGATATGACCATTGAGTAAAGCTGGCACTTATGTAAAACTGCTGACATTTCTACCAATCTATACATTGAAATTTCATTTATAATTAGTTGGTGCTAAATGCATGATCTATATCTACATAAACCTGCTCTTGCACTTCTTCACTTTGTGCAAACTCAGTAATGGTGGTAGCATTTTTTTTTTTGTTTGTCTCACAGCTGGCATCTTTTCTAAGACAATCAAAATATACAATAATCAGAATTGAGAGGTTAGGCCATTTGCTATCTTCCAATAGTTACACCATATCATTCAGCTTCCATGCAAAACTATCAATGCCACCTATGGCTATCAGCGCAATTCTTTGTTCTGTGCCTTGTCAAAAGAAACCTTGATAAAAACCAAAAGAACTGCGGATGCTGTAAATCAGGAACAAAAACAAAGTTGCTGGAAAAGCTCAGCAGGTCTGGCAGCATCTGTGAAGGAGAAAACAGAGTTAACGTTTCAGGTCCGGTGACCCTTCCTCAGAACTTTTCTGAACAGTTCTGAGGAAGGGTCACCGGACCCGAAATGTTAACTCTTGTTTTGTCCTCCACAGATGCTGCCAGACCTGCTGAGCTTTTCCAGCAACTTTGTTTTTGAAAAGAAACCTTGATGTTTCCTGAAGATGCTGTCAACATTTTAGTTACTGTTTTGTGAACAGTGCAAAAAGTAACCAATTCATTGTAACTACTTGACTTGGTTAAGAGGTGAACTATACTTAGAGCATCTTTCTTCACGCTTTTCCCACTGCAGTATTCTTTTTATTCATTCATAGAATGTGGGATTGTTAGCCAGGCCAGCATTTATAAGTTAACTTTATTTAACTAATCTTGCAATATAGCAGTCTACAATGACAATATCTTGAGTTAGTATGTTTTATTTTCTCCATCGCTCTGGTCTTGATTCTCTTCTACCTTTCATATAACTCTCCACCCCTCCATTCATATACAAATAAAGTATTCAATCTAGAACGTTCATCAAGATCTCTGGTCACTAGGTTTTTGGTTTAGTAATAGTACACTTTTCTTTGAGGTAGCCAGTCATGGATACAAGCTCATCTGTAAAATGTTCACCTAATTTTCTAGAATTAGAAAAACTCCAGTGTCATTGAAAAATAGTGGGTGGAATTTGATTCCTGTCTCTATTCCTAGTATTCCAAATTTTGCTGGATTGATGTAAGGATGATGGTGGCTAGATCACATCCTGTACTTCCAAGCTGGCATGCTGTATTTGTGGAAGCATTCTCCTAGCCTCCCATAATTTTCATGGAGTCAGGTCAGCTTCTGGATTGCTCATGGTTCATGGCCCCTCAGAATAGCTGTGAACCATAATTAGAATGTTTTGAAAAATAATTTCAAAAAGTCTTTCATGTATTTTCCAAGCCCCTCCCATTTCTGTTCATGTCCCCTTCAAATCCCTACCCGCACAGAACAGAACCACTGATCTGTACAGTAACAGAAATGTGTGTGGACCTGTTCAGAAAACTACCCATCCATTCACAAATCATCTTTTGAAAAATGAAATTATCCATACAACCCTATGAAAAGGGCTCAATCAAACAGATTATTAAAATGTTCATGACAGCTTCAGACACTTCACACATTTATTCTTGTGCAAAAAAAAATTGTGACATTGACATGAGATCCCAGAACTTGTTATAACCACTTAAAGATGTCAGTCAAGGAAAATTAAGAATTTTCTTCATTTGTCAAAACAGAAGCCCCTACCGAGATAATTCTTTTGGGTCTGAGTTTCTAGCCAAGGATTCATAATAAGAACAGGTGTAAGAAATCTGTCAGCAGAGCTGAATGCTCATGGGGTAGGTTGGTTGGATGAGAGGATAATGAGGAATGGATTGGCTTAAGACAGGAGTGCATTACATCTTTTATAACACTACTGAGATAAAGAAATGAGGTAGGCTTTCTAAAAAAAAAAAACAGCCTGCCATCATAGCCAGCAAGCTTCTCAGGGCAGTAGGTACTGGTCTGTCTCATCTTTCCAAATACCCCACCAGAGTATTGATCATGAGATTTGAGCTCCTTTCTAATGAGACAAGTCAGTTAATTGGGAAATCCCCCAATTCAGCTACCCACTTTAGTAGAGAAAATTTAGTCTTAAAGTGTCAATTTACTTAAGTATGGCTAGGAATTTTTGCTTCTTAGATGATCCTTTAACCGAGGCCCCATCTGCACCATCAAAGGGATTTTTTAAAAAAAAACGTCATACGGTACAACAAGGATGTGGAAAGTTTTATGGGGAGGAGCAGGTAGATAGAGTTGAGGCCTCAATAAGATCAGTCGTGGTCTCCCGAATAGCAGGAAAGAACTAATTGTCTAAATGGTCTACTATGCTGCTGCTTTTTTGTACATGCAACTGAGTAACTTTCCCATCACCAAAATCACTGATTTTTCTCCCTTATTTAACTACAGTAAATCATTTGGGTAGCCAATTAAATATTTAAATGCAAAGCCTCTGAAGGGCAATGCAAAACATCAAAAGTGAACAGGGGGTTAGGGTGAGAGGGACGAGGCTAAAAAATCAATGGATTTGTGTATCTGTTTGTTATGATCGCTATTAAAATCAGTGCATGTAAGGTGACCTAGCTCATATTTATCCTTCAGCCAATATCTCCAATTATCTGGTTATCTACCTTTCCGCTGTTTGTGAGGTCTTGCCTGTGCAAATTGTCTGGTGCATTTCTCTTACACTAATAACTGCGTATCAAATATGTTTTGAGCAAAATACTACTGATGCAGTAAATCTGAAACAAACATAGAAAATGCCAGAGGCATCGTCTGAATTCTGAAGAATTATACTGGACTCGAAACGTTACCTTTTGTTTCTAGCTCCATAGATGCTGCCAGGCTTGCCGAGTTTCTCCAGCATTTTCGGTGATCATTCAAAACGTATTTTTGGCTGTAGAGTACAAGATCCTGCAAGACACTATATAATAAAGCATTTTCTTTTTCTTAACCATCCCCATTTTAAGGTCAGAACGGCACGGAACAATCAAATGTATGGGTTTTTTTATGGATTATTAGATCATATCTGGCACTGCTCTGAACCTCTCGATTTTAAACCAGGACTTGAAGCACCCAGGTCATTCGTGGCTTACAGATGTTTTTAAGAGTACGAGACAAGGGATCCGTTGTATTTTTAGTGACTGCACCGGTAAGCCCCGGGGAGTTTACCACAATGCGCGCCAACCTCGCACAAAACTACCATTCAAGATAAATGCAAAGAATGTTTTCCAATACAAAATTATCAAGCCAGGTTGTCGAAACCCGCAGTGTTTTCACAATATTTAACCCCTTATTCACAACATGCGGAAACAAATTTCTGTCCGATTTTCCGTGTGTGTATGTGTGTGGGATGTGAGTTTGTTCGAGAGTAGGGAGCCGGCTCCAGGTTACAGCCTCCCTCCCGACTTGGGAGACGGTGCCCGGTAGTGTAGTGGAAACCGAGCCGGCGAAAGATATGAGACAACAAGGTGCAGAGCTGGATGAACACAGCAGGCCAAGCAGCATCAGAGGAGCAGAAAAGCTGACGTTTCGGGCCTAGACCCTCCTTCAGAAAACGTCCTACTATCTCGGAGAAAGATATGTTCCTCCTGATGTAGACGGGCTGCCGGGGCGGAGAACCGTACCACAATGCAGACGGGTAGGTGCGAGGGTTGATTGGTCCTTTCTCCTCGGCTTTGGAGTTCTTATTTCCAGCGGGATACCTCCCGGAATTGTGCCTGATTGAATGCGGTTACTTTGTTGTCAGTGGCAGTACAGTATGTGATTGGGCATTGAGCTGGAGAGACGCAGAACGTAGCGGCTTCTCCCCAGGTAGCGGGTGGTTTCTCCCAGATGTCCGCCCGAAACAGGAGTCAGTCTCGGCGACATTGTTGCCACATCACTGCCGGGTTAGATAGTTACAAAACAGCAGTTTCCCGTCCTGCTGACATCGCATCCGGGAAAGCCACCTAATGGGACGTGATTTAATTAATTTTACGCAGAATCTCTCTCTTTCAGTCTGCTCCCGTTAATCGGCCTCTTGTGCCTTTGTTTGATATTCCTTCCCCTCTAATATGAAACTGCTCGCTCTCCTCCACCACTGACTGAGAGCAGCGAAGACGAGAGGATGACGACGGGTTGATGACTGGTGATTTTTTTTTCTCTCTCTCTGGCCGAATTAATATCACACCCTGGGTAGCCAGCGTTCCCAGCGACATGTAACGACTCGAGAATAAAACGGGCTGGTATTCATTCGGCGACACGATGCAATGAACTCTTACTGGCATCAACAGATACCCTTGACCGAAATTTCTCGGAGAAGGATGGCTGGATACTGTTTCTCTGAAACGTAGGAACCGCCGCCCACTTCTTCAATCACCTGTAATTGCATTAAATTTAACGAGGATTGCCTTTAAACTGGAGACAAAGAAAACCAGGAAACACTCAATTATATGGGATACCGATTTTTAATTAATAATTTATTGCAGGGTATTTATGTTTATGGAACATCATTTGTAAAACCGTTAATATAATACCGAGATTGGAAGTGGCGCCGCCGCCCTACGCCCTGAGATGCCTCCAGATAACGCCTGTCATTTTTTTTAAAACCCTGAATTGGTGCCAGATGGAGAACCCTGAATAACTGACAGTCCAACATTAATGTGGGATGCAACGGCACTGTAAAGGAGCCTGTGTACATTCGGTGGTTTGATTACAAGCACGGGTTTTGATTGACTTCCTGCTGGCCTGGTTATTTGAAGCTTTGCTGCTGAAACTTTACCTATTTATTAATACAAACCAGCTGGCTTTTTAATTATTCTCCAGAACCCAAGGTCAAAGCCCACGTGAACTAAGTTTGTGACATGTCTCTTCATATTTAAACACATTGGCTGGTTGGTTTTTGTGTATTTTAGCTGCTTTAGTGTTCAGTCAACTACATGCTGGAGAATGAAGGAGGTTTGTAGGATCTGTGCCCGGGAACTGTGTGGTAACCAACGACGATGGATCTTTCACACAGCTTCCAAACTAAACCTACAGGTTATCCTATCTCACGTACTGGAAAAAGAGGTATCTCGAGATGGCAAGGCAGAGTTTGCTTGCAGCAAATGTGCATTTATGTTAGACCGTATCTACAAATTTGATACAGTTATTGCAAGGATTGAGGCACTGTCTATTGAGCGTTTGCAGAAGTTGCTCATAGAGAAAGATCGTATCAAGTACTGCATAGCTAGTCTATATCGTAAAAATAATGAGGAGCCAAGTACTGACACCAAGGGGGAGGATGTTGCAGTGGAGAGCTCCAACCTACCTGATGTTCGGTACCATGCTCTGCTACAGGATGACTTTGTATATTCTGGATTTGAATCATGGACAGAGCAAGGTGAGGAGGCCATGGAAACTCACAGTTGCCAGACATCAGACACCTCAAGCTACAAATCCCGGAAGTGTCGCAGCTGTTCAGCCTTGCGTGTGACTGATGCAGATTATGAGGCAGTTTGCAGAGTACCTCGGAAGTTGGCGAAGACTGTTTCTGCTGATCATTCCATTAAGTGTGCAAGTAGTGTGGTGGGCAGCACAACTGCTGAGGAAGGACTTGCAATGCCAGTCATATGTGAAACGATGCCCATTGGGCAGTATGAGTCTAGGACTTCTGTCTATGCTGACTCACTGGATAAACTATCTCCAGCCTCTTCTGTTGAATCACTTGGTCCTACGGTGGAGTCCTGCCCTGGGCAGACCAGCGAAGCAGCACAAGTAGAAAAATGTGCCAAAGATGACAGAAGTCCCAAATCAGACTTTTCTGACGGCCAAGGAACCCATCCTTTGTTGTATAGACAAAAACTAGACTTTGTCCTTGGCTTAGTGAAGAATGTTGAATATAGGCCTGTATCGATCCCAAAAGGCAGCAAATTGCCAATTCCAGTCAGGCCTTCTCCATTGGGCTCTCAATCAAGTGGTACTTTGGATGGGATTTCCAGGTCTCATTTACAGAACAACGCTTGTGAAATTGTTAACAAAGGCATAGATCCTCTCAGGATGCACCTTAACTTTGATGTGACAGATCTTGAGGAACTCTTTCAGGACATCCTTGATGAATATATTCCAATTTGCACCCAGGTATTTGAATTGTGATGACTGTCTATTATGTTATCTTCCCAATATTCTTCTGACCCAGTTTGACAGTTAGAAACAACAGCCATCAGTCAAATCTCTGTGTAATATTTTAAAATAGTTGCTGAGCTTTTTTATTTAATTATCCAACCCCCAGCCCAGCATAAATAAACACAAAATGCTAGAAAAATTATCAGCAGGTGTGGCAACATCTGTGGTGAGAGAAACAGGGTTAACATTTCAAGTCCAATGGGAGTGAAGAGTCATTGGATCTGAAACGTTAATTCTCTTTTTCTCTCTCTCTACAGATGCTGCCAGATCTGCTGAGTTTATCCAGCATTTTCTGTGTTTATTTCTGACTTCCAGCATTTCTGTAATTTGCTTTTATCCCAGTATAAATCATTGCTGAATGTCTTCTCTTGTGAAACCTAGGGCTTTGCCTTTTCATTGCTATCATATACATCATTAGAATGAAACTTTCTGCTACATGAGAGTGGTTCAGTAAAAGATACTGATTGCAAACCCTGCAATCAATTTATCCATGCCAAAGTATTTAATACATTCCATGAAGCCCTAATGTGTTGATATTATTTTCACTGCTCTGTCATTCCTTTTTGCTGTATCTTTGGTTGGATTTGAAAGGGCAGGGCCTCCACCTTAGCATCAGTTACAGCCCAAAGACTATTAACGGACATGCATGGGAGTAACATCAGCATTGGTGAAAATGCAGCACCCTACATCAAGTGACTTATTTTAGTCACTTGGAATAAATCTCCTTTTGAAGTATTGGAGTTCAGTATTATTTTAAAAAGAAGTGGTCATCAAAGTGAGCAAAATCAGTGTTGGAGAATGGATGACCTTCTACTGTAGATGCTAACTACTTGGAAAGCAACAGTCAACGATTTGCCCTTGAGAAGCAAACTGGAAATTCAGCCAAGTTTAATGGATGGGCCTCATAAGACTGTCATTTTCCTACTTCCTAACCATAATGGCAGCGAGCTTTCTGGGAAATGCTTGCCTAGCTTTTAAAATCCGGCTGTAGGGATCTGGCATTGGGAGCACAGGAGAATGGTCCCCAGGACCTGTCAGTTGGTTGTTGGGTGCTTAGCGGGGGAATTGGAGCTCAAAGAGAGGGGGTGACTTAACACTTTATTATATGGCCAAAGTGAGCACTCCAGGGCCACAATTTGCTGAATATGTTCTGATTTGAGCTGCTATTCCTGGCAGGTGTAGCCTGGTAGGGAAGTTAGGACTGCTCCATTGCTTAGACTTCAAGTTCACAGGAAAGCAGATCCAGTTCCAGTGATGTAATCAGAGATCAATTTTATTTAAAGCTATAGGACTGGTTTGGGATGGGTGTATTTGCCATCAGCCGTTCAAAATTGTAGTCAACCAGTCTAGACTGCAAAGAGTAAATAAGCCAAACCCTCCCCTCCCCCAACCCATTTTTAACTGCTCCATCTGGTCTCTGCCTGGTTGGCCAGTTATAATTAAAACCCATGTTCCAGCATCAAGTCATCCCAAGTCCGATCTATCAAAACTAGATGCAGAGTAAGGCTTCATGTGACCTCCCAAACAATCTTGTTCAACTCTAACGTCAAAATCTTTTGACACCAAAGTGTAACTTTTCTATTTCCCGCCTGTGTCTCTGTTAATTAATACCAGTTTTTGACAGGATCATGCTCTCTTGAGAAACACAACGTTTACCACCAATGGAAAGGGAATACTTTTATATTGTTTGGACTTGGCTAGATTTGAGTCCAGATATCTGAGGAAAGAATAAAAATCTGACCCACAGTGTCCCTGTGAATAAAAATGATTGTAATTAACATATTTTAATTGCTTTCTGCTTTGATCAAAAGAAAAAGGTGGAGGACTAGGCCATTCAGCCCTTTGAGCCCACTCTGCCATTCAGTGAGAACATGACTGATCTTTATTAAACAACATTTTTCTTGCACTATCCATGTATCCTTCTAATGTTTTTAATATAGAGAAATTTATTGGTCTCAGTCTCAAACCTACTCAGTGATTGAGCCTCCACAGCCCTCTGGTTGGTAAACTCCAAAGATTCCTCCTCTGAGTGAAGAAATATCTCATCTCAATCCTATCCCTGCTTTGTCCAGGATTCTGGACTCCATCCACACACATACCAGGTGAAACATCCTTATCCTGTTGATCTCTGTAAAAAAAACTTTTAATTATGGATGAGATCACTTTGTATTCTTCTAATAAAGGTCCAAACTATTTAATCTTTCCACGTATGATAGTTCTGCCATTCAGAAATTACTTTGGTTAATATTTGACGGTGTGTCTTTCCTTGGACAAGGAGATCAAAATTGCACACACATGACGTTAGTATAGCTTTACTCTTGTACTCTAATCTTGTTGTAATAAAGGCTAACATCTAATTTGCCCATTCAATTGTTTGCTGTACCTGCACATTAATTTTTTGATTCATGAAAAAGGACACCCATGTTCCTGTAAAGTTCAACACTGTCTCCGTTCTTAAATTGTGGGGTTGCTACTTTCTACTTTTGCTACCTTTCAACCTGCTAGACCATTCCAGAGTCTGTGGCATTTGGAAAGATGATCACTTAAAATACATTTACTATCCCTGCAGCCGACTCTTTCAATACTTGGATGTAGACCCATCAGGTCAAGGGGATTTTTCTACCCTATGTCCTATTTAATTTCTGTAGTGATACCCTTTTATTAACATTCTTTTCTTGCTGTTCTTCTTTTACATTAGTCTCTTGAGTCCTCATTACTTCTGGGAGATTTTTTGTATTTCCTTCACTGAAGGCAGACACACACAAAGTAGTTTTTAGTTTCTTTGTCATATCTTTATCCTGTATTATAAATTCTGCTGACTCTGCTTGCAATGGACCTTCACTTGTTTTAGCTAATCTTTTTCTTTTTACATACATATAGAAGCTTTTACAATCCATTTTTGTTTCTTGCTGGTTTGCTCTCATTCTATTTTCTTTTCCTTGGTCCTTCACTGCAGAATTCTAAAATCTTACCAATCCTCAGTCTCTTGATAACTTTATAGCTCTTTTCCTTTGATCTAATACAATCCTTAATTTTTTTTGCTAGTCACAGTGAAAACATTTTCCTTTTTATGCATTAGACAAATGTATTTTTGTTGTTACGTATTAGTCCTTTAAATGTTAGCCATTGCTTGTTGAGTCTCATACCTTTTCAATGTAGTGTGTCAATCCACCATTGGGCAGTTTTGCTTCATAGTCCCATCATTTTCTACGTTTAGATTTAAGTCTCGCTTCTGAATGAATACATCGCTTGAAAACTTAATGGAGAATGCAATCATATAATGGTCACTCTTTCCTAAATGCTCCTTTAAAACAAGTTTATTAATTAGCCCTTTTCAAAGCACAATACCAGGTCTAAAATAGCCTATGCTCTAGTCAGTTCCTCCGTGTACTGCTCTAAAGGAAAACGTCACATGCATTTCAAGAATTTGTCTTCCACAACATTGAAATTCTCCATGATTACTGTATTACCCTTGTGACAAGCACCTCTAACTTCTTGATTTTATATTGTGACTTACATTGTCATTGCTATTAGGTTGCCTGTAAACAGTTTAGTTGCTGTTTCTTAAATTGATTCTACAGCTCAAACTTTAAAACTAAGCTCACCACTTATTGCAGCCTGAATGATGGCTTTAACAGAGCCAACCCACCACATTTTCCCAACTTCCCATCTTTCCTAAATGTCGGGTATCCTCAGGATATCCAGATTCCAGTTTTGGTTTCCTTTGTAGCTACATCTCTGACATGGCTGTCAGGTCATACATCTGAATTGCTATTTTAGCTGACAGTGCATTTGTTTTGTTACAAATTCTGCAGCATTTTAGATGCAGAGCCGTCAACTCAGTTTCTTTTAATTATTTTTGTAAACTCTGGCCCTATCTGCTGGCATACTCTTTTGCAATCACTGTCCTTTGTCGTACTCTGATTATCATTACCTTTATTGCTGCCTTGATCCATTGCCTTACCATTTCCCTTAAATTTACTCAATATTGTGCAAAATGATCTCTTTCCATTTCTATTTAGTTTAAAACCTCTCCACTTCCCTAGTTATGCGGCTCACTAGAAGATTAGCCCCAACACAGTTCAATGATATCCCATCCTACATGCACCAGTGCCTTATGAATTGAACTCACCTCTTTCTCCACCAGGTTTTGAGCTATGCATTCCTTTTCGTAATCTTTGCCTTGCACCAGTTTGCATGTGGCTCAGATAATGAACGCAGGATTATTACCTGTGTGTTTGCATTGAAATTTAGTGCAAAGCTTCTCATGCTGCCTATCTAAACCTCTTTCCTAAACTTGCCAAGGCTGTTGATATGTATTTGGACACATCCCAACCACCACCACCATCATTACTTCCCTCATCAAACCCAATTTACTGCATTTCCTCTTACTTCTCTTAACATCTGAGCAGATATCCTGAACTCTGGGATTATCACTCTTAGCTTTAACCTCCTTAAATTGGCGCATTCTATATCTGCAATGATACTTGCATTACTCCAAATGGCAGAATAGACTGAAAATTTTCTCTCTCAAATCCCTTCTATCAGAGCCACTGATGAAAAGTGCAGCAAAAGAAATAACATGGGGCAGCTTGCTCTCCAGAAACACCCCACTGCCCCCCTTTGAGAATATACCACATTCCAGGTGACTAACTTTTCACATTTCCCCCCCCCTCTCCATTTTCTCCAGGTGACTGGGAACCCACACCAGTGAAAGTTGTGAAAATGACACATCAGGCATTCAGTGTTTTATATTATTATAATCATGTGTGGACATGACTGTGAATCATTCATGCTTGAAATTGATCAGCCAGAATCATTACTACATTGTGATTACTGTTTTGTGTTCATCTGAAAGACAGATGTCCCTTCTGGGATGTGTAACTCAATGTCAGCATTGAGCAATTTCAGACTTGGCAAATTGTGCAGAGCAAAAGACCATGTGCTTTGTCCAAGGTAATGTCCTTCCTCAGCCTGGATTTGCCATACTAACCACCCGTCTGTCCTTCAGACAGATTTAAGGTATGGATTTTTTTTTAAGCTGCGTATCTACATCTGTAAGAAAAATTGTCAGTTAATTGCCAGATTCTAAAATAAAAGTGGAAAATGCAGGTTTGTTGATGTCAACAACAATTTGAATTAAAATAGCATCCTTGTCATATCCCAGAAAATAATTGGGGGAGATTTGTAAATCTGAAAATAAAATTATTTCATTTGACTGCCTGTCCTATGTTTTAGTTTGGAGAACATTAAACACCTAAATATTTAATATGGTCCAGCTAGCAGAATTGAAAATAAACATTCTGATTCCTGACCTGGATTTACTATTGACAGGGATTACTTTGAAATAGAAGAGAGAATTCCCTTATCCCTTTCCCCTAATAGGGACCACAGGGCAGAGCTGTAACATTGTGTGGTATAAATTTTCGTCCTGGGTGCACTCCTCAAACATAGTATGTTAAAGATCCAATGAACTTATCCTTATGGTATTTTTCCTTCAGAGGTTACTGTTTTTTCCCGTGTTCCACCATTTGATCAAGGAATCATTTAACACTTCTGTGATGATCTGAGAGTACTGCTTTTGAGGGTAATTTGACTTTGCTAACACCAGTCCTGTGCATGACAGTAACTCCTGATTCCTTCAACAGTACTTCCCTGATCTGTGACCTCTATCACCTTGATCCATTGCCTTACCATTTTCCTTTAATTTACTCAATCTTCCCCAAAATGACCACCTCCTGTAAATTCCTCTCCAAGTCCCTCACCATCCTGGCTTGGGACCATATCAATGGTTATTCTTAGCTAAAAATTCTAGAACTCCCTTCCGAACAGTATGTGGGTGGCCCTAACCACAAGGACTGCAGCAGTTTCAGGAGATAGCTTAGCAGCACCTATTCCAGAGTGATTAGAGATGGGCAATATGCTTTCCTACCAATGATGTCCACATCCCATGAATGAACAAATGCATAATTAATAATAATTATACTGCAGACTTATACAAAGAATGTGAAAAATGGTTAAATCCAGGAAATCCCAATATATTCACTTATAGCTTTAGGTCTAATATTGAATGCAAATCTGTCATATTTGTATTTTCAATCATGTAATTCTAATGAAATGTTAATTTTGTTTCTCTTAGCTGATCAAGCAGCATCTTTAGGGATATTTTGTTTTCTGTCCCAAAATTGCTGAATCACTCAGTGTCATGAATGAATATTTTTTAAAAAGACACTTTACAGTTTCTAGTGCCTCTCACAAATATGTTTTATAAAAAATTTTCTTGCCTCTAAAGCATCATTTTCCTCTCCATTACAGCAATATAAAGTTCAACATGTTGAGCAATGTCATGGGGCTTAAAAGACCAACACACTGAGCAATGCTATGGGACATCTATCAATCACAGGACTGACTTGTTCAGATAATGACGTTGCTGTCATATGCCCTCCTAAAATATACTATGCTGCTGACCTTTACTGTGATACAAGCATTCTTGTGTTGGACTTGAGTGTTGACAGGCCCTTTCAACATGGGAGAGATATCACCATGAGTCAATTATTTATTCACCACTACACATGCCTGTTTATTGAAAGCAAAGTGGAATTTAGCCTGTGGTCATTAATTTCAGCTTTACCATTCTCATCATTACCTTAATGAAAACACCAAAACCAATTTACACCAGAGATCAAACCTAGAAATGTTATAGGCTATATGGCGCAGGACACAGGTGGTGCATTTCCAGACCAGTCTGGATGGTGTAATTTTTTAAGAAAGCAATTATACTTAGTAAGGTTGTACAGTTCCTTACTTCATCTCAAACTAAATAATTATGTTCCTGCTTTGCTTTGGTTGAGTTTTTATTCCTGAAGTCTGACTGTCTTTGAAAGAACTTAACGGAAGTGTTAAGAGTGTCCACGAATAACTGCTGTTGGCGTCCTAACTCAATTACATGATAAAGTCAGGTCCCAATTGACGGGTTGCTCTGTTTGAAGAGAGAAAGGGATGGGAGCAGCAAGTAGTTGCTTACAAGCAGCAAGCCTGTGGTTCCAGCAGGATATGAGGCAACTGAAAATTTAAGAAACAAAGCCAGCAAAGTGACTAAAACCTACTGAGATCTCTCTGCACCCTCAGTGGTAAACAAGTCTTTTGTTTGTTTTGGTTTTAGCTATCATGGAGAACTTTAACTCTTTGGGATATTCCATTACTTCTTCTTTTTCAATTTATTAAATTTACCCATGTTGCCTCCACTGAATGCTGAGTAGCAACTGTGCACCATCACTGTGTCCTCCATTTAGCAGAGGAGCTGATCTGAATGATTGGTTGTCAGTTCAATAATCTACAAGTTTGGGAGGCCCTGAGGATTGTGGCCTAGATCTGCTTCAGCAATGGGTGAAGATGCAAAGTAGATATTAATTTTTCTCCCCTATTTTTATGTTTAACAAAATTGAACTCTTGTTATTATATATAAGGTTTATATCAGCAACAAACAGACCTCAAAACTTAAGTCATCATTTCAGGTTTTGACTATTCAAACTTGCCATTGATCTGGTGAGCATTATGCATGTTTTCTTGTCACCAAGGGATAAATCTGGACTGCGCGATACTCCTGATGCAAATGGTGGCAATCCTCATGTCAGCTACAATGATTTTAGTCAGCAGTTGAGTCATCCGAATGATCTTTTAATTTTATCTACTTGCAGCCCGTCAGAGAATGGGGAGCTGTAACATTGAGTATTGAAGGGACAGATACGTCCATGGAGTTAGTAATTTTAGACATTGTCGGGATTTGTAGTGTCCTCTTGTGCAGGAGATTTTTTTTCTCAAATTCTGTCTCGGGTTAGGAAGCTGCACATGTATTGACGTTTGTGTCTTGGGGCCAAATGGCTGACGTTGGTGTGGTGAAGATGATTGATTGGCTGGTGAACATGCAAACACCTGCTCTGTTACTTCCACATATTCTGGCTCAGCATAGTAACACTTACCCCTGCTGTCAAGACATTATGTTTGTTATTTAAGAATGTTGTGATCATTTTCATTTAAAGAGATCAGTCAGCTACAGCTCATATTCACTACCATAATAAGGTGAGAACAAAACCCACAAAAAAAAACTAATGTTCAACTTGTTTGATATTTATTTCAAAAGAAGTAGGCAAAGTATTCCATGGTAATTTTACCTGTACTCTGTCAATATTGTGCAAGCTGATAAAATAGAATTAAATTTGGACACCTTGCTGTGTCAATTGATTAGGTGCAGTTTGTGGCGTGACTCTTAAAGGGATCATATGGTTGAAGCCTAGTTTGTCCTGAGTTAGCTGATCTCCACAAGAACAGTATTTGGTCTATGTGCTAGTGTCAGGGTAGGGAGAAAGTAGCAAGGTTCCTGTTGCTCATTGAGTTTCAGTGACTCAAATATACGTATGGTGAAGGAGCAACACATCGAAGTGAGGAATTGCCTCATTCTCGTGTCCTACACTGTTTATTATTAATGTGTGAATTATTGAATATTTGGAGCGATTTTTGTTTTGTTTTCAGCACTGTCAGATCCCAATGTGATATCCAGAGTACTGAATATCCTACTGAATGCTTAACTACATTTTGCCACTGAGTTTAAATGCATCAAGATTCTCAATTACTAAATTGTGTTATACTTTTTGAAATAAATTCCTTCAACAGCACTTTCAAAACCTGCTATTTTTTCCTACCTTAGAAGGACATGGGCAGCCAGTGTTTAGGAACACCCCTACTTCCAAGTTCCCCTCCAAGTCACACACTGTCCTGACTTTGATTTGTCACTGGGTCAAAAATTCTGAAACTTCATTCCCAACAGCACTGTAGGCTCCTATCCCTGGACTGCAGTGGTTAGAGGTGACTCATCACCACCTTTTCAATGCAATTAGAGATGGCCAATAAAGACTGGTCTAGCTGTTGGCAGCCTCGTCCCTTGTTCTAAATTTTAAAAAATGCCCCAGTTCAACATGTTTTTAAAAAAGCCATGTGATGTATGTTACAATGTAGTATCAAAGCAGTGAGTTTTTTGTTATGTGTCTCTTCTAACTTCACTAATTTAGAGCAGACAAAGTGAACACTTTTAAATAATGGAAGAAATTACCACAGAATATATGAAACTCTAGGCAGAACTTGGTGACTGGAAAGTGGCACTGCCAAAATATTTGATCAATTAAATAAATATGTGACCTTCCTTTTCCCTCAGAACCTGATTGAGGAGCAGCAGCAGCAGTTGAACCAGTATGAGTCAGCAGCCGGACAATGTGTTGCTGAACTGCAGAAAGCCCAGGTCCAAGTACATGGGTTGCAGGGCAGAATCCAGGAGACTGAGTCCGCCAACAAGGTGAGCAACGTATCCTGTTGCTGCTGCTCACAGATGTTGCTGTTTTGATTTGGATTTATAAACCAGTGAGGGATTATTACCATAGCCACAGCAAAATACTATAGGTCCTGGAAGTTTAGCCAAAAACAGAAAATTCTGGTAACATCTGTGGTGAGATCAGCTGTTCACGCTTTGAGTCAAATATGACTTCTTCCAAGGAACTTATTGGACCTTTCCAAATCTTCAGCTACAACAGAATTCTACTGGGGCCAGCCGGTAGATCATAAGGAGCACGTACAGCACAAAGCTGTTTTTGCTGCCATGGACCTATGTCGACAGGCATCTGGAAATGTGTTAACCTAATGCTGCTGGTTGGATAACCTTGCTGTCAAGCAATGTGGAAATACCAGACTGAAGTGCAATTAGACTTCAATTATTTCCCTAAAATGGTTCGAGGAGTGAGCAGGAGACATCTTTCCATGATGTCAGTGCTTCCTAAATCATTTTTCACTGCGATCCCATTTTGAGGCTTGAAAACTGATGTGATCCCTTGATAATCAGTGAAGTGGGAAAGAAAAGACCTGTCAGAGTGGGAGTGGGAGTGGGTTGGGGGGCACCCATTGCTGCCTCTAAGCCCTTCACTTTGGGCCCTAATTCCCACTTGGGAAGTCCTGCAGTATATGGTCTTTAATTCTTTGAGACTATACTATTACAGATGAAACCAGCTCGTTATCTTTACTCTGTGGAACTTGTGGAACTTCATTGTCAAGTCTCCCAGCAGAGTTTTTAGTAAAATAGCCATCAAACAGTCCAGGGTGGGGGTGTGAGAGGGAGAATGCGACAACACCCTAGTTTAGTTTAGATAATTATGCTTCTTTTCAAAAGAAAACAGAAGAGAGGAAAGTTTCTAAACAACATTTCTCTCACCATGCTTCGTGCATGTGGCAAATCTATCATGGCTTTATTTCCCCAGATGCTGCAAGAGAATCTAAGAGAAATGGAAAGTGAATTAAAGGAAATGCGTTACACACTACAGAAGCAGGATCGAACCCAGCTGGAGCTGAAGGAGGCTTTGAAAAATAAGGAGAAGGAGGTAAATGTCACACACATATAGTTGACTGGAATGATCTTAAAAAATTGGTGGGAATGTATAAAACCTTAAGCTGAGTTTTCCTGCAAACCTTGAGATCCTGAAATCAGGCCCAAATGTGGGTCCCAAGCTCACAATTGCTGATAGTTACAGTGGCACTGTGATAATCCTGGAAGCCATCCCCTAATTGTTCTGAGCTCATGGCTCAGTTGAAGAGAATGGGCAGGCCCCCAGTGCTGCTGGCCGAGTAAAAGGTCAGAAGCTCTGAAGTCCCAGCAACCTCAGAAGGGTGAATGCTGCTGTAGCGGTTGGGTGGATCGAGTGGAGGTACTCTTTAAATAAAATTTCAAAGGGGCCAAGCAGGTAAATCTGATCCTTCCAATAATAAATTGGAAGGCTAACCCCTCTGGATGACTGGTTAGAGCAAAGCAGGCAGCCTTTCTGGATGGCAGTTTCCTCTTCAGGGGATGGAGCATCTGGTTCTGAGGAACCTCTGTAATGGTCCAGGCTATCTCCATTACATCGGTGGCCTTTACAGATAGCAGGGGGCTAAACCACAGTTGGGAAAATGCCAATAAGCACTCTTAAGTATCTCCAATCAGCGCCTTATATATGCAAATTCGATCCCCAACAGTGTTCAGTGAATAGCTAATACAAGTCCTTACTCACCTGTTGATAAACTTTCTCAGTGGTGTGAATGTTTCCAGAATATTTCCTGACGTGGTGCCCCACTGTTTTTCCAGCTCCTCTGCCATCAGTCTCGTTATCCAACACAAAGAAAATTCTACCCACTGAATTCTGCAGCACAGAGGGAGACCGGTACCAGCACCTTGAAAACGCTCTCAAATTGAGTCCTACACCCCAATTATTTCCCTTTTACAGTGCAAATTAATCATCAAATGCGTGCACATTTGCCTTTTCATAGTTCTGATGGATGTGCTTCCACCACCATTTCAGGTTGCACAATCCATTAACCACAACAGCCCTTTTTGTGCAAAATCACCTCTTAGTTCCACTCTCGATCATTTGCTAATGATTTTAAATCTGTGACTCCACTGATAATTGACCTATTTTCCAGAGGAAAACATTTCTCCTTTCTTCCTCTATTTAAATCCCTAAGTTTTGAATACTATTAACTCTCCTCTTAACCTTTGCTTGCTGTTGCTAATAGTGACTTCTGCCAAATGATCTGTTGTCATGGTATGCCACCCTTGTCTATGTTATGTCATCTTAATCTAAGCACTAAAGCTCCTCTGCACCCATTCTGTGACATCCACCATCCAACCATACATAGGTCAACCTCACTTTCTGCTGCCCTCTGTTTGCCTCCTAGGAAAGCACTTTGTAGCTTTTCAGTTCCAACCAAATGACAAAATAATGACATTTTCTTCTCTCCGTGTCACTTCTTAGTTTTTTTTTTCGTCTTGCAATTTCAAGTGCCATATTTCAAGCATCTCTCTTGTCTTCTTTGGATATTTACTTAATGTCTAAGTATTTGAGGCAAACAGGAAAGTGGATAGAATGCAGCAGCTTGAGATTTTCCCTTGTAACAAGCTTTGAGTTTTGTTTTCCACAACGTTACTTCAGGCAATTTCTGTCCTTTCTCTAAATTATGCGTCACATCTGTCATCATCTGTTATAACTTGCCCTAAATAAACTTATCGACTTGTCCAGTGTAACACCATCGACTTCAATCTTCATTCTAGTTTCTTCTAATGTATTCCTTCAATGATGTGGAAATTATGCAGCACTTCCACACAAGCCAGTGCTGACACTGCAGGAGTATTTGAGCTAGAACCTGCTGTTGGCACTGTCTTACTAGCAGTGAACAATGTAAAATAATCAACTATTGTTTTCCAGGGTGATGTTTAATCCATGCTGGTGTCTAATAAGGCTCCACTCTGACAGCAGTCTATAAGTATTTGTAAAGACAGACACATCAAGAAACCTGTGATGATTCATCATGAAAATAGTAGCCATGATTAAACAGAAGTGGCTGTAGGCATGCTAGTTCAGTGAACTTGTTATGTGATATGTGCATTCACAGGCAAAGTAAATGGGGTTAAAAGCGTAAAGAATTTATTTGATTTCAGTATCACTTAAACGTGCTGACAACAAATTGGTAAAGCAAAGTGTCAGCAAAATTCCACATTTAATTTCACTTCAGGATAGCTGCCAACTATCCATTGGAATCTGCAGCCTCTGCAATCTTTTAAACAAGATTATAATTTTGGCTGTTTACTGTATGCATGTAGACAGCCTGGCTCGTTGCTTACCATGATTTCAGTTGGAAAGGGATCCAGAAATGGGACCAGTCTTTCTTTCTCACTTGCATAAATGTTTATCGAGGTATTAAAGTTCTCCTCCATCTTTACTGCATGTTTGCTGTCCTACATTTTACTGTAGGCTCGGTGATTTTACCTAGCTCTGCCTTAATATCCTTGTAAACATGAATAAGAGTAACAATGACACTAATCTTAGAACCAAATTGCAATTCCAGGTGAATCTGAAATTCTATATGCTATGATCATTATCATCTAAAAGCTTCTAGATCTAGCAACTCAAGACTGGGCATCAATGAGGCGCTGTGGGCCATTAACAGCAGCAGAATTGTACTCCAGCACAATCTGTAATCTCATAACCCACTCAATCCTTACCATCAAACCAGAGGGTCAACCCTGGCTCAATGGAGAGTGCAGGAGGGCATGCCAGGAGCAGCGCCAGGCATACCTGAAGATGAGGTATTAACCTGGTGAAGCCACCAAACAGGACTACTTGCACGCCCAACAGTGAAAGCAGCAAGTGATAGACAGAGTTAAGTAATCCCACAACCGACGGATCAGATCTAAGCTCTGCAGTCCTGCCATATCCAGTCATGAATGGTGGTGGACAATTAAATAACTCACTGGAGGAGGAGGCTCCACAAATATCCCCATCCTCAATGATGGAAGAGCCCAGCACATCAGTGTATGAGATAAGGCTGAAGCTTTCGCAGCAATCTTCAGCCAGAAGTGCTGAGTGGATTATCCATCTCGGCCTTCTCCAGTGGTCCACAGCATTACAGATACCAGTCTTCAGGCAATTTGATTCACTCCGCATGATATCAAGAAACGGTTGGAGACACTGGATACTGCAAAGGCTAGGGGCCCTGACAACATTCCGGCAATAGTACAGAAGCCAATAGTACAGAACTTGCCGCTCCCCTGGCCAAGCTGTTCCAGTACAGTTATAACACAGATATCTACCTGACAATGTGGAAAATTGCCCAAGTATGTCCTGTACACAAAAATCAGGACCAATCCAACCCGGCCAGTTACCACCCCTTCAGTCTACTCTCGATCATCAGTAAAGTGATGGAAGGTGTCCTGAACAGTGCTATCAAGTAGCACTTGCTCAGAAATAACCTGCTCGGTGACGCCCAGTTTGGGTTCTGCCAGTGCCACTCACCACCTGATTTCATTACAGCCTTGGTTCAAACATGGACAAAAGAGCTGAATTCCAGAGGTGAGGTGAGAGTGACAGCCCTTGATATCAAGGCTGTATTTGACTGAGTGTGGCATCAAGGAGCCCTAGCAAAGTTGGAATCAATGGGTATCGGGGCAAACGCTCCGGTGCTTGGAGACATACCTGACACAAAGGAAGATGGTCGTGGTTGTTGGAGATCAGTCATCTAGCGCCAGGACATCTCTGTAGGAGTTCTTCAAGGTAGTGTTGTAGGTCCAAACATCCTCAGCTGTTTCATCAATGACCTTCCCTTTGCCTCTATCATAAGGTCAGAAGTGGGCATGTTCGCCAATGATTGTTCAATGTTCAGCACCATTCGTGACTCCTCAGATACTAAAGCAGTCCATGTTCACATGCAGCAAGATCTGGACAATATCCAGGCTTGGGCTGACAAGTGGCAAGTGACATTCGCACCACACAAGACAGGCTATGACCATCACCAATAAAAGACAGTCTAACAACTGTTGACATTCAATGGTGTTACCATCACTGAATCCACCACTATCAACATCCTGGGTGTTAACTTTGACATGAGACTCAACTAGACTCGTCACCTATAAACACAGTGGCTGCATGAGCAGGCCAGAAGCTGGGAATACTGCGGCGGGTAACTCGCCACCTGAGTCCTCAAAGCCTGTCTGCCATCTACAAGACACAAGTCAGGAGTGTGATGGAATACTCCCCACTTGCATGGATGAGTGCAGCCCCAACAACACTCAAGAAGCTTGACACCATCCAAGACAAAGCAGCCCGCTTGATTAGCACTACATCTACAAGCATCCACTTCCTCCTCCACCGATGCTCAGTCGCAGCAGTGTGTACTATCTACAAGACGCACTGCAGAAATTCACCAAAGATCCTCAGACAGCACCTTCCAAACCCACAACCACTTCCATCTAGAAGGACAAGGGCAGCAGACATATGGGAACAGCACCACCTCCAAGTCACTCACCATCCTGACTTGGAAGCATATCGCCGTTCCTTCACTGCCGCTGGGTCAAAATCCTAGCATTCCCTCCCTAATAGCATTGTACGTCAACCCACAGCAGGAGGACTGCAACGGTTCAAGAAGGCAGCTCACCACCACCTTCTCGGGGGCAACTAGGGATGTGCAAGAAATGCTGGCTAGGCAGTGACGCCCACATCCCACAAATGAATAGAGCGAAAAAAAAATGAGGTTATTAATTAATCCTGTCTCATGCTCATTAGCAGATCTGAAATAGCTTCCTCTTGAAAAATTACCCTGGATACATTCTATATAAATTTAAAATTTCTCAGCAAGCTTTGCCAATCTGGTTCACCCAATCTACATGCAGATTAAGATTACATGTGAGTATTATGGTACCTTGCTATCACAGTCCAATTATTTCTTCCAGTACACTCACTTCTACAGTAAAATCATGATTTGGGGGGGCCTGCAAATTGTTCCCACAAATGACCTGTTGCTTTTGCAGTTTCTTGTTTATATCCAAACTGATTACACATCCTATTCTTTCAAAATAAGGTCATCTCTCATTATTATACTAATAACATTCTTAAATAACAGAGTGACCCCATCACCTATTCCAGCTTTCCTGTGAGTTCAAAATATTAGAAAACTTTAAAGATTTAGGTTCACCTTGCAACCATGTCTCTGTAATAGCTATCAGGCCATATGTATTTATTTCTGTCTGAGGTCACAATTCATCCATTTTGTTACCAAAGGTGTCTATATATAGATCCTGAACCTCTAACTTCTCTTTTTTTTTTCATGTACTTAAATCTCTGGTCGTATGTATTGTTGGATTCTTAACTTTGTACTTTCTGTCATCTCTTGTCGCATTGTTATCATTACTCAAATCACAACTGTGTTTTATCATCTCATTGCTTGCCTTTCATTTACCACTCCTTGTCTCCCATGATGCCTTCTTGCCTCTCTTTAGTTGAAATTCATTTCAACCGATGCCTAGTTACTAGAGTCGGAGGAATGTCAAAATGAATGTGATAAATATTGGTTCACTAATATCAACAGCTGTCGTTTTCAAATGGGCAGGATGTGTTAGCAACTTTGTAATCAAAGTGGGAATTTTTTCAAACTCTACTGCCATTAGTAGTAGAATTGCCGTGATATACTAACATGAGGAATTGTAACCAGAGGAAACCCTCTCCCTGGGAGCCTGGCCATAAAAGCCTTCAAGCAACGGATGGTTTTGTAATTGGTAATAATAACAATATGTTTCTTACCACCTCACCCCTGCTCAACTACCCTTCAGGTTGAAGAGCTTTATTGTGTCATCGATGGTCAGAATGAGAATCAATCCAAATTGAGGGAAATGCTCCACAGAAGTCAGATTGAAAACGTGAAGGTAGGTAACAAGTGAAAAGGTAACTTAAATAGCCTTCGGCTGTGCTTCAAACACTTCTTGCCTTTTCTCTAATTTTGTATTTAATGTTCATGGGTGGCTTGTCTTGTTCCAAAAGCAGAAATTGCTAGAGAAACTCAGCAGATCTGGCAGCTCTGCAGAGAGAAAGCAGAATTAAAGCTTCGGGTCTAGTGACCCTTCAGAACTGATTTGTAGCTAGGAAAGATTTGTAAATATGCTGAAGATGAGTGGTGGAGACCAGAGAGACAGAATAGCAGTTGGTCAGGTAAAGGTCAGCCTGGCACAATCAATAGCTGCTTATGAGGACCATTAATAGCTGACAATGGGTTGGTTGTAGTTGCAGCCCAAGTGATGACAAGGCCTGGTCGTATGAGTGTGTAGGTAAGGGCATTGGAGAAGATGCTCAGACTCTAAATTTATTGAACATGATTTTGAGTCTTGAAGGCTGCAGAAAATGAGATGCTGTTCTTCCAGCTAGCTCTGAGCTTCGCTGGAGCACCACAGCAAGCCTGAGGCAGAGATGTTGGCCAGGGAGCATGGTGGGGTTTTGAAGTGGCAGGCTACAAGAACTTGAGGTCATTTTGCACACAGAACATAGTTGTTCTCCGAAGTGGTCACCCAGTCTGTGTTTCGCCTCCCCAGTGTAGAAGAGACCACGTTGTGAGCAGTCACTGTCAGCTACTAATGGTTCACATTAACAGCTATTGATTCTCCTCGGCTGACCATCACCCATTGTTTTGTCTGACCAACTGCGGTTCTCTCTCTCAGCTCCATGTCCACCTATCATCTCCTCCTCCTCCTCCTCCTCCTCCTCCTCCTCCTCCTCCTCCTCCCCCCCCCCACCCCCCCTTCAGCACATATACCAACCTTTTCCTAGCTACAATCAGTTTTGAAGAAGGGTCACTGGACCACTGTATTAACTCTGCTTTCTATCCACAGATGCTGCTAGACTTGCTGAGTTTCTCCAGCAATTTCTGTTTTTATTTCTGATCTCCAGCATCCACAGTTCTTTGGGGTTTTTTTTTGTTCCAAATCCGCTTCAAATAATGCTTCCTGTCATTCATTTTAAATCCTCTAGTCTGTCATCCTCGATACTCTCGTGCCTCTCTTTTATCCGATTGTGTTGATATCAAAATCCTCATCTGCCAAGATTTCAAAACCATGGAAACCCATTATATCCCTCATTTTCCATTCATCCATAGCCCCCAACCTTTTAAAACTGTAGCCCAGATTTCATCTCTTTCTTGTTCTTTCATTTCAAAAAAGAAGCCTAGAGTCAATGATCACTGCAGGAGGAATTTTAGAAGTGAACTTAAACTTTTCAAATGACTCCTTCTGCACAACGATCAAGGTGAAAATAATTAGTTTTTTGGTAGAATTAAGACAGAAGATGCTGAAAAAGCTCAGAAGATCAGGCAACATACATGACGAGAAATACAGTTAACATTTCAGGTCTGCGGCTTCTCATTATGTTTTTGTGGTGTTGGTTGAGGATGGTACACATAAAGATTCACGTACAGCCAACTCTGCTGATGTTTTTATACTTAATGAAGTAACAACACAGCCCTGCCCTTCTGAGTTGAGCTGGATCATTAAGCTGCTAGTAATCCCATCAAGCAGCATTTGGCTGCTGAGTTGACGTTCATATTGAAAGAATGCATTAGTGCATTTGGTGCAGTTTAAGGGAGGGAAATGAAATCTTTCAGTTGAAATGTTGAACTAGTGCTGCTTCTGCCTCTAATGACATGAGGCAGGATAGGGAGATTTCCATGTACTCGATAGCACTTGCAATTACTGAGCATCTGTCATGACCTCAGGACCCACCAGAAAGCTTCATAGCCAATTAATTACTTTGAAGTGTATTAATCATTGTAGAGTATTTGTGCAAACTAACCTGAAATGAGATAAATGATGAGATAATCTATTTATAGTGATGTTGAGGATATGTCTAGACTTTCCTCAGATAGTGAAAGGTAGACGGGGTTCTAACATCTGAACTGGAAGATGGCGTTTTCAACAATGCGTCACTCCCTTGTGTGCACTAAATGTGTGCTCAAGTTGCTGGAATGAAAGGGCATTATTATTGCACTGGGGCTGAATGGAAGTACTGTCTTGAAAGTGAGCCATCTGTCTTTGTCTTTGCTTTGAGCTTGGAGGCAGTATTCCGTGAGGATGAGAAATAATTTTAGATGATGATGTTGAAGTAAGAAATGTCGAGGTAAAGAATCCTACCCAAGATTTGAAAACTCAAAAAGCTATTTTATCCTCTTTGTAATTTATGTATGTTTACTATTTCGCATTCCTCTCTACTCCATATGTATTTCTGTTTCCTCTGGATACAGCGTTGTGCATCCTGTCAGACTACTGATGGACAGCCAGCGCCACCACATGCCCAACAACAAGCTGAGCTGCTGGAACTGCAAAACGCCTCCTTTTCCAATCAGCTGGAGTTGCAGCAAAAGCAGAGGCTAATACGGCAGAAGGAATATGAGCTCATTGAAGCCAAGCAGAGAAAAGAATTGCTCGAGACTGAACTTGAGGAGATGTATCAGCAAAAGGAAGCTACAATCACCCACAATCAAGTAAGCATTGGGTGTTTGAAACAAAATCTTGATTTCCAAAACAATTTATACAAGGAAAATGTAATGGTGAAGATTGTTTTCTATTCCAGTAGGCCTTTTGTCGTTCGTTTCTCATGTTGAGGTATGCCTGTACTATTGCTAGATCAGAAGTTTTGCAACACACTGGATGTAGGGTAGAGATTCCTATATTCTTCAACAATTTAATCCACAGAAAAGGACCTTTATCTCTGTCTGTGTTTATCATCTGTGCCAGGTAATGATACCAAAAAAACTCTTGTCTCAGTTATTGTCAATATGATTCCAAATGAGACTTTCACATTATAGTCTGGCTAGATTTGAAGCCAAATTCCTAAGGACTTTCTAAAGAGTGACAATCTCACACAGATTGCCACTTTGTTCCTTTTTTAAGAGCATTTCTGATAGGAGATTCCGATCAAGATTCCTTCAGAAATGTGGAGCCATACTTCTGTTCTGACTGGACCCTGTCAGTGGAAGGGAAACCACACACCCTTTTCCACAGCAGCCAGTTGCCACATTCTGTAATTTAAAGGACCAGCATCACATAAAGCCACTTTGACAGATGCTATGCAAGAGTAAGTACACAAATGATTTAAGAACAGCTTCTTCCTTACTGTTATCAGACTTATGAACGGACCTCTCATATATCACTGTTGATCTTTCTCTGCACCATCTCTGTAACATTATATTCTGTTCTATTACCCTGATATAATTATGCAAGGTATGATTTGTCTGGTTAGCATGCAAAACAATACTTTTCACTGTGTATCTTGGTACATGTGACAATAATAAATCTAATGTCTTGACTATATCCAAGTTGCCCAGCTGTAAAATTTCATTACAAATGTCTATCAACTGCAGATGCAGTTTATCTACTATGATCTTGCTGTTTCTGTATCCATAATACTGTGGCTAATATTAATTTTTGGCACGTATATGCTAATTCTGTTTTTTTTCTAATGATTGATTGATGCAGAGAATCTGGGCTCATTTTGTGGTAAGCCACCAATAATTTTAGTTGTTTGTAATTTGTTTCAGGAGCTGCGCAACACATTGCAACAAGTCCGGCAGGAGTTCCTGGAGAAGGAACAGCACTATCAGGCCCTGGAGAGAGAGCATCAGCGTGAAGTTCATGTCCAGGAGGAGAACATCCAGTGCCTGAAAGAGCGGTTACAAGACAAGGAGCACTTCTTGCAGGTACAAATAGGCACCCAATCGTGGTATCTCACAGTGACACAGTTCAGTTGTTCTCTGCCGTACAGATAGAAACACTTCTTCCTTTCATTAATTTCATTCGTTGATTTTTTTTTTTGTTCTTTTGTACCATTCCTGCCCATCTCATTTGAATTCACATCTCTCGTAGAGATTTGGTGCTGTTGGTATTTGCAGTCCCTGGTACTTTCTTGAAATTCCTGTGTTTCACTATTGGGTGAGTGCACACAGTGCTCAAACAACTCGGTTACAAAATGCTGGAGAAACTCAGCAGGTCTAGCAGCATCTGTGGAGAGGGAAAATTAGAGTTAACATCTCAAATCCAGTATGACTCTCTTTCAGAATTTTCTAATAAACTTTAATGCATTTAACTGCAGTATTTGGCTGAAAATGGTTGCTGCTTTTATCTATAAATTTAAAACGTTATTAAGTTCAGAAGCAAGTCTTTGTAAATGGAATGCTTTGGGATGCTTCTGAAAGAAGTGATAAAATGCTGCAGAGATATAGGTTTTTATTTAATATTTGTCAAAAAGTGCATTCCTGACTGCTAATAGTAGACTTAACCGGTTAAAATCAGAAAATAAACCTGATTTTGTAGTCAGCAATGACTGAACAATGCCAGCAAATACATTGCCATTACACTTAGTTTTGCCTAGACTTTGTCTGAGCTTTTGCATTGGAAGTGATAGTGATTATAAGTCCATTTCGGCAAAACATCCTATAGAGCAAAATTGACACCAGTTGAACACACCCAGCAACTGTGTCTCTCTGACCATAAAATTGAAGAATCCTGACTGAGGCTTGCAAAATCTGAACCAAAAAAGTGTTGGTTAGAATATTCAGTTCAAAATATGATAATGTACATCGAGCAAAATGGAAAAGGAAGAAAGTACTGAATTGATACAGAACGAGAGAATAAACAGGAGGTAAAATGGTATAAGGAAACCTTTTGTTTGTAGTTTCACCAACAATTAAAATCTGAAGCTATGCAATTGTATACCTGTAATACTTAATTCCCAGTGCTGAAGAAGCTGATTGACATAAAATTAAGAATTTATCATTCCTAAAAGTTTGCTTATTTGGAATTGAACACACCTTAGCTTTTTCTGACCTGTTTGAAGGGAAGGCAACAGTGAGTCAGCAAGCTTTTGATAAAGCACAGGTAACTTGGAAAGTAACTTCTTGATTTCCACATTGAATTTGTAGTTGCTGGAAGTTTCTGCCTGATTTATATTTTAATAGTGGTCACCAATAATAGTCTCAGTAAAATGTCAACAGCAAAAAAACAGGTCAGTGTGTAAAAACACCAGTTGCACTTTCCAAGCAGTCTTTCTCAACCTTGCAGAATCTTGGCATGTTAAACAAAGGCAGTTGTACTGTTCTGACACCGGTCGTCCTTACTGTGAATGAGTAAGTCAGGTTTCAGAATTATAGTAGGGATTTTAGTGTTATACCTGTACGTCATGTTCAAAAATTGAGTTAACACAACCTCAATTCTTCATTTAGATCCTTTACCAGCTCTTTCAGAGAGATTTTAATCTAAGCAACCTGGACTGGAACCACAGCCAGGTGTCATTATAAAAGGCTTCCGTTGTAAGGCAATCACATTTTATCAGATTTGTCTTTGTATGTTTGCAGCAATATATTGAACTATTTGAATGCCAGCAAAGTGAAGAACAAAGTGGAGAAGCAAGAGATGCACTGGTTGATAAACTGCGAAAGCGTATCAAGGAGAGAGATAAAGCTTTGGAGGTGGGTTAAACGTTTGTGCTTTCTATTTATTTGCTTCAGCTCAATGTTCAAATTATATTGTTTCTTTCTCGATTCTATCCTTTCAGCCTTCTCTTGCTGAATATATTCCTAATAAAAATGCGTTTATTCTATTAAACTTGTTAGCAGGTTAGGTGGATTGGCTAAGCTAAATTGCCCGTAGTGTTCAGGGGTCTGTAGATTAGGTGGGTTATAGGGGGATGTGTCTGGGTGGGATGCTCTGAGGGTCGGTGTGGACTTGTTGGGCTGAAGGGCCTGTTTCCACACTGCAGGGATTCTATGATTCTATGATACTTTATTTTGCAAGCATTGTTCCTTTAATTCTCAGTTTATCTTGAATGTTCTTTTCCATTACTGCACTATAGTGCAATCTGGGGGAGGGAATATCCTTCTCTGGCCACTATGTATTCGAGACATTGTAACCTTAGTGGAAGTAATTTTTGTGCTAACTATTGTAACAAAATCATATTATGATCCTCAAGGATGTGCTTCTGAGAGCTTAAGAAATGCAAGTTGAGATGGTTCAATATCTCTCAACATCCTTTCCCTCTCATTTGGAGAAGCACAATGAATTAGAGAACACTCGTTAACAATGTGTATTTGTTGCAAAAAAGCATCCTGTATGATCTATTTATATAGATAAGAATGTATGTATTGAAAGTACTGAATTTGAAACTCTTCACAGATCCCAGAAATGTTGAAAGCATTTTAAGAGAAGCAATCTGCAAGGAGTTGCTTAGATTTTCATCACAATTTCTTAATCTTTTGTTGTTTCCTTAACAGTTTGAAAAAGTACTTGTGTATAAGCAACACAACGAACCAATTCACAGTTTAATAAGACAGATATTGAAATACATTGGATAAAAATGAATGTAGTTTGCGGGATCAGGGATTTAACTGCATTTGTAGATATATAAATAAGATTGAATATTTTACTCCTTTATGGTGTATGTTGGGGGAGAATATAGGCTTGGTAGGCAGAAGAGACTTTTCATAATCAATGCCTTCTTATGTCAAAACTTTGAGCTATTTGGACAGATTGCTGTTGTTCACACAATCGTTGTTTGGAAAACGAGTCAATAGATTCTTGGGATTAAGGGAGAAATTTTAAAAAGGTCTCCAGTGGTAGAAAACTAGTGCTGTAACATTGCAGTTTACAATGATATGTGTTTCTAAAGCCCCTTCTAACATAGTAAAACATCTCAATGTGCTTGCTATCTATTCACTACTCTTTTGTACTTTAGAGTTTGAGATCGCTGCAGCTTTCTAAAAATTAGGACAGCATTTCTACCTTCTAATAAGCTAGAAATTATCTGTACTGTTCATTTCCAGCATGCCATTGATGAGAAGTTCAGTACTTTGGAAAAAAAGGAGAGTGAAATACAGCAGCTGCATCTGGTTATACGTGAGAAAGAAAAGGATCTGGACAGATTCCGTTGCATTTTCTCCAACAATGAAGAGACTATTAATGTAAGTGGTGTAGACACTGCAAATCTATATTTGCAGGATATAAAAGGGTGGAGTGATCAAACGGAGCAGTGAAAGTGGATATGTAGTTTACTCAGATGCTTTGGATGGAAACTTAGTCTATCCCAAAACTCTGGGGCTATTTTCTATTCATAACCCAATTTCATAATGAGTAAAGAAGCAGAATATTGAAGGTACTACCCGAAATAAAAATAGGAAATGCTGAAAGCACTCAGCAAGCTATGACAGCATGTATTGTGAGACAAACAAAAGTTAATATTTGAGATTTGTTATTTCATCCATACTCGGGGAAAAGTAAAAGATAGGTTTTCATCAGAGGGTGGCTGAGACAAAGATGTAGGGAAGATCTGTGAAATCGAGAGATTGAATTGCAGAACAGTTAGTCTTAGCCTGGAGTGGGTGGTAGTGAGATAAGAAAAGAAACGAAGTAAAAGAATAGTCTTTTTTTCCCTCAAACACGGTTATCCTCACCTCCACCATGGTTGAGAGGGTCCTTGCCTGTGTCTGTCATGTTTCTGTGCATTTCTTTCCCTCCGTTTTATCACCTTGTACATTCCTCAGTCACCCCAAGCTTCCTGTCCCATTTGTACAATGTCTTTCACTGCAAATGAAACATCTCCCTTTTATCTCCTTTCTCATTGTCCTAGGCCCCAAACACACCTCACAAGTAAAGCAAAAAATTTAATTGTACTTCTTTCAATTTAGTCTGCTGAATTCTCTGCTCACAACACAGTCTCTTCAGCAATGATTAGACTAAACACATATTGAGTGACTGCTTCGTAAAACATCTCGCTCATTTTGTAAGAATGATCTTGAGATTTTAGTGGCCTGTCATTTTAATTCTCCACTGCTATGATGGCAACTGTGTCCCTGGCCTGTTGCATGGTTCCAGTAAAGCCCAACATAAACTTGAGGAGCAGTGCCTTATCTTTCAATTAGGCACTTTATTGCATTCTGGATTAAGCATTAAGTTCACCAACCATTGTTTTGCTGCACTTTTTGTTTCCTTTGCTTTACCTGTTATAATTTTTCTTTTAGTTTTGTTTTCAGTTAGAAGCATACCTATTGTATATTATATTTTATTTCTGTCTCTGTAGATGCCGCCATTACATGCTGATTACTCCCAGCACATTCTATTTTTATTCTTAATTGATAGCTTCTGTTGTAGTTATCTCATGGAACAATAGCATTAATATCCTGCCTCTCAGCTCCCTGACCACTTGGGGAGGGAAGTCAAGATGACATCTCTATTTTATCCAAGGAACAATTTCTAGTTAATAGGATGGCAGCCCTGGGTTACAAAGCCTCACCAGTTCTTCCATTACAGCCTCTAACATCTCTTTGTTCTCCTTGGAGGAAAAAAAAAACTCAACCAGGCAAGTGACACTGGAACAAAAACAAAGTTTCTGGAAAAGCTCAGCAGGTCTGGCAGCACCTGTGAAGGAGAAAACGGAGTTAACGTTTTGGGTCTCGTGACCCTTCGTTAGAACTGATGGTGGCTGGGAAAACGTCAGTTTATATGCAGAAAATAGGGAGGTGGGTGGGGTAGGGAGTAAATGATAGGATAGAGCCCAACGAGAGAGAGAGGCAGTTGGACAGACAAAGGAGTTGCTAACGATCAGGCTGGGAGTGTGAATAGTTGTTAATAGGGACTATTAGTGATTAACAACAGGGTGTGTGTAATGACAGGCTATGTGGTAACAAGGCCTGGTGTGTGGAGTAGGGGCTGGGACATGGGAGATTTCAGGCCCTAAAATTATTGAACTCGATATTGAGTCCAGAGGGCTGTAGGGTTCCCAAGCAGAAAATGAGGTGTTGTTCCTCCAGCTTGCATTGGGCTTTGCTAGAACACTGCAGCAAGCCAGAGACAGAGATGTTGGCCAGGGAGCAGGGTGGTGTGTTGAAGTGGCAGGCAACAGGTAGTTTTTGTGAGCAGAACGTAGATGTTCTGTGAAGCGGTTGCCAAGTCTACGCTTCGTTTCCCCAATGTAGAGGAGACCACATGGTGAGCAGCGAACTCAGTAGACTAGATTCTGGGAAGTGCAGGTGAAGTGTTGCTTCACCTGGAAGGTACGTTTGGGCCCTTGGATATTGGGGAGAGAGGAGGTAAAGGGGCAGGTGTTGCACTTTCGCCGGTGACAGGGGAAGGTCCCGTAGGGCTGTGGGGAGGTGTTGGGGCTGAAGGATGAGTGGACCAGGGTGTCCTGGAGGGAATGGTCCCTACAGAAGGCAGACAAGGGAGGGGAGGAGAATATGTGTCTGGTGGTGGCATCTCGCTGGAGGTGGTGGAAATGGCATCTGATGATCTTCTGTATGTGGATGTTGGTGGGATGGTAGGTGAGGATAAGGGGAACCCTATCGCTGTTGTGGGAGGGAAGAGAAGGGGTGATGGCGGAAGTGCGGGAGATGGTTCGATCCTGGTTGAGGGCTCTGTCGACAACGGAGCTGGGGAATCCTCGGTTGAGGAAGAAGGTGGACATTTCGGAGGCTCCCTTGTCGAAGTTAGCCTCATCTGAACATATGCGACGGAGATGGAGGAACTGAGACAATTGGATAGAGTCTTTACAGGAAGTGATACAGAGCTGGCTGAGTGGGTGAGGTAGTTGGATTTCAATATCAGCAGTGACCAACTTTGTCAGTGTCAGGTTCCTAGAGCACTGATATCCCCCACGTGTAAAGAGAATTGATCGTCTGCCTCCAAAAGCTGCGTATACCCCACATTCAGCATCTCCCTTCCTTCCCGTTGAAACTTCAGTAGGAGGCAGGATTGTCCTAATGAGGAGAGATTTAGGAAACTGGTCCTCTATTACCTCGAGTTTTGAAGAATGTGAGGTGATCTCATTGAAACTGAGGGCTATGGAAGTTCAGTTGTTGAGCAGGTTCAAGATGAGAATCAATGGCTTTCTGGAGACTGGCGATATTAAGGTATCTAAGGGCCTACTGTGGGAAAGTGATGATGAGGTAAATGATCAGCCACCATCTAATGTTGGAGCAGATGTTATAGGATAAATGGCCTACTCTTGCTCAAATGTTCCTATCTCCTGCCCTGTGATTGGATATTCAGTTGAGCAGAAGGCACCTGGTGCTGCTACTTCTGCTGTTGAAACAGTCATTAATGACGTGACCTCTGTTCTTAACTCTCAGCAGAGCTGAAGTCTGGATCTGCCTAATCTACATCCATGCTGTGCTGAAAGCTGTCAGCAGGGTAGTGTCACTGCAGCTGAATGCAGTGCTATAAGTGAAGTGCTTTCCAAGATGTTAGCAGTCACTGCATGACAGCTGATTGCTTTGCACAGATGATGATGGTAACATCACAACACTGCTACAGAGCTTTCTGTGCCAGGGTATGTTTGTGCATATGAAGGTGATGTCATTTTATCATATAGTACACTTCATAAAGAAATATTCAGATACTTCCATTAGTTCCTTTTCGCTGAAAGATTCTTGCAGTGAAATCAATATTCAACAGTACCCGATATCTTAAATTTCAGAAAGACAGTAGCTACAAAGGTTCCTTTCAACTAAAATAATGGAGGCAATGTTAGACAGTTGAGTGGCAAAAATTATACAGCTGACTGAGGATCTGCATATTTTGCAATGAAGCTAATGTGTAACATGATAAGGCATAGCTAAAAGCAGAGAGTCGTCTCTCTCACACACGCACTTTGACAAATACAATGGATATAGTCACTTATCAGGAATATCAATTACATCAAGAATCACATGGAATATTTCCAAGAAGGAACTCGTAAATTGTGTAATGCATTTTGAGACAGTGATTTGGGTCTATGCCCTGCAGTGCAATCTCTCAGAATTAAAATCCAATGTGAATCATTTCCAGAGCCTTACATTTATGTGCTGTGGGCTATGCATCTGGATGTTCAATTTACAAGATTGTTCATGATGTGAGTTTGCCTCCAATAGGGTGTTGTATTTGATGTGGTAATACTTATGTTATCATCTGTCACATTCAAAATTGAATGTAGATATTGTACTATTGAAGAATCTATCATATTTATTCCAATTAACCATTTTGTACAAAACTTACACTCCTCAGACACATAAGTGCATGAGCTAATATTAAGCTGTTAAGTTACAACCGAGGAGCACGCTTCTAGTAGCATGCAATGGTTCAAGTGGTCTGAGGTAAGATGGATTAAGACCTTTAAACCCTCATGTCACATGCTATAATACAGATAACGTGAGTATGTTTCTTCATGGTATACTGACATAGTAATGTGACACATAATGCAACAGTTCATTTGCTTTAATTTTGAGCAAACCGTTTATAACACCAAGTTAAGACATGGTTGTGACAAAATACAGAAATAGAACATTCTTTAGAATATGATGGCAAGGGCTTGATGCTAGACATTTCTGGTTTTTTTTTCCTCAATTACACTGTTTAATTGCTTGTGTGGTTTGAGTTGGAAGTTTTCTTCCGAATATGTGTATGAATAACAACATGACATAGGGATTACAGGAATAACCAACATTTGTTGTTATATATCAGTATGCAGATTCAAGTCCTTTCTACAGATGGTGATAAACAGTTACTAAAAGTCAGATGTACAATATCTTGCTACACACAGGCAATATCTCCCTACCCCTAAACTTCAGTACATACATAATTTGCTCCAGCTCTAAACCTTTAACTGCTCATTCACTGACTGCAAGCTCAAACAATTCTAACGTACCTCAGCTAAGCAGCAGGAAAGTTTGTAGCAAAGCTTGGATCAGGTGGAAGTTATGCACATGCACCACACCCCGCATTTTGTTTTTTGAGAGCTAATGACAATCTGTAGGATAAATTAGTATCAAATGCCTGCTTACAGCAGATTTGTGAATGCCGATTCTGAAAGAAGCATTTCCTTAATTAACCAGATGTATTAGCTATCAATACTGAGTGGAAACCAATTGCGTTAATAACCAGTTCGGAACATCTATGCATGAAGTTATATCAACATCACTCTTAGTATGTTCCCAAGGGGCTTTTTGTCAAATCTAGGTGTAACTGGTTACTGAAATTCTCATTCTGCTTTGCCTGACTTCATGTGGTTACATTTATTCCTAGCATAAATCCTCTACTTACGTTTGCATGTTGGGAACACTCCATTCCTGTATGATGTTCCAAAGAGTTGACTTCAGTGAATCGATGATCAGGAGTTTGACTCCGTCCTTCACTGTCATTGTAAGGGCAGTGCCATCTTTTCTTCCTGGCCCCTGCTGTTCCATCGTTTTGTATTGAAGTGATACTGTAAACCTGTTCTTTCTGCATGTGTGCACTCGATGCCCCACCTAGTGATGTGGCGTTGACAACAAATATAGCCGGTTCTTCTTGAAGACAATAGCTGGAGATTTTCCACTGTAATTCATCAAAGCAAAACCTTTCCAGCTTTTCAGTTTTATTGAAGAAGCTGTTCTCACTCTGTTTCCTCTTTAGTGGACCTGACAAGGTGCAGACAGAAGGTGAAAACAACACGCTCTTGGGAAAGAAAAAAATCATGGTTAAAAAGGCTCCCAATTGCTTTCCCACCAGATGGAGAGGGTTTCCTGCATAACTTGACCCTTTCCTTATGGAAAGCCAAAGGAAAATTAGAATCCAGACCAAGGCTAATTTCCAGGTTTGGCCCACACGTATGCACCAAAACCTGTCTGCACCAGGTCGGAAAAACCTTTCCCTCCTCGCTATAACTTCCCAGCATTGACTTGTTTTAGTCTTTTAAAAATATGCTGCATCTCATTAAATGAACCCACTTTGCTGATTTACAGAATTTCTTGGCGACCTGTTGTCACTTTTTTACTGCTGACTGAAATCAGTAAACCTCTAAATTCTATTTTAAAACCTTGTTTTTGCAATTTAATAAATATCAAAGAAAATTATTAAAATACACAGATGTTCACTTTTGTTTCACCACTGAAACTAATCCCAATTCACAAAGCTGTTATGTTAATTCTGAATATTTGCTTTAATCAGAAGCAGCGATTTGCATGATCTCATCTAGTGATTGAGAGATTGTTAATTATTTCATTGGAAATGGATGCTGTGTCTGAGATTCGATTCACTTCAGAGAAATAGATGGAATTTGCATATGTAACCTTCTAAACTTCAGAACCTCTCATTGCACTTCACAGCTGCTAAAATATTTTTCAAGTGTAATTAATATGGTAATGTGGGTATTTGTGTGCTGGACAAGCTTTCACAAAAAGTAATGTGATGAATAAACATCTTAAAAACTTTCCTGATTGGTTGAGGACTAAACGTTGGCACCATTGAAATGAGAATATTTTGATGGCAATTCATTGATATGCCCATTTGGATTATATAGTCAAGTCCTGAAATTGGGCTCCACTCCCCCTCCACCACCACCCCGCCCCCCTCCTGCCCCACTTAACTTTCTGACTGAAAGGCAAGAGTGATATTACCTGATCCAAGATGGACTATGTGTTTTAATTTTACTTTATTCATGAATTGAGCAAAGTACGAATGTGCTGAAGATAGATAGAATCATGCTTAGGTGAGGACTTGGGATGTGGGGTCTCATCCATGTAATAACCAGAAGCTGTTGGAAATTGTTAAGTTCCTTTAAATATAAAGAATGCTTTTGCTGTATTGAACAACAGGGGGGAATATCTGTGTCACATCTGAAACAGCAGGTGCTTGATTTAATGAACTGAATGGCCCTGATCTGATTACAATCATCTTATTCTCTGATTTTTCAGAGTCTAGAGAACCTCATGAAAGGGAAAGACCTAGAGTTAGAGCAGATTTCAATAGCATACAAGAATCTCCAGTGGTTGAAGCAGGAGATGGAGGAGAAGCATGCTCACTTCCTGAAGGAAAAAGACGCAGTCAACAGTCAGCTGCAGGCAGCACTGCGCAACAGCAACAAGGAGGTTAAGGTAGGAAGCTTGTGAGGCCACTGAAAGAAAATCTCAGTCAATGTTTTGGCATGAAAGATCATATTCATGGTGCAACAAAATAAATTTCTGGGTATTACATTCATCATGAAAAGCAGTTTGTTTTTCAGTGATCAGCCAGTTGGGTTGTGCTTGATTGATTAACGGTAATTAATTGGGGTATTGAAGGTCATAGTCAGCCCTGGGATTCATATATTGTAAATTTCTTGTGCTCCATAACCCTGAGAAGATCTGTGGTTCCTACTGTTTTCATCTGATTCTGAATCCCTTTCAATATGAGATTCAAATTTATTGTCCTTTTCATCCTAATTACACAGACCCTGATTGCAAGTCTGTCTACAGGAAAAGCAAAAATGCTCCCTTTAAGATTTAGAGTCTGAGATAAGGTTAAGGATAATCCAAAGAGATTCTACAAATACATTAAGAGCAAGAGGGTAACTAGAGAGAGGATAGGGCCCCTTAAAGATTAGGAAGGTTGTCTTTGCGTTGAGCCCCAGGAGATAGGAGAGATACTAAATGAATATTTCCCATCAGTTTTTACTGTGGAGAAAGAAACAGGGGCCAGGGAATGCAGAGGAACAAACTTTGATGTTTTAAAAACAGTTCACATTACAGAAGAGGAAGTTGGGGAGGTCTTAGAGAATAAAAATGCTGATAAATCTCCAGAACCTGATCTAATGTATCCCTGAATGTTGTAGGAAGTAAGGGAGGAAATTGAGAGATCCTTGCAGAAATATTTACATCATCTATAACTGTCAGCAAGATGCCTGATGACTGGAGGATGGCTAATGTTGTATCTTTGTTTAAAAAAGATTGTAAGGAGAAAGTGAGAAACTAAAGACCATAAGCCATAGGAGCAGAAATTAGGCGATTTGGCCCATCAAGTCTGCTCCACCATTTATCATGGCTAATAAGTTTTTCAACCCCATTCTCCCACTTTCTCCCCATAATCTGTGATCCCCTTGACAATCAAGAACCTATCTATCTCTGTGCTAACTATATTCAATGACCTGGCCTCCACAGATTCACCACTGTCTGGCTGAAGAATTTTCTCCTTATCTCCAATCTAAATGGTCTTCCCTTTACTCCGAAGCTGTGCCCTCAGGTCCTAATCTCTCCTGCATTAGATCTCCCCTCGTCCTTCTAAATTGCATTGAATATAGTACCCTCAAATGTTCCTCAAATTAAGCCTTTCATTCCTGGGATCATTCTTGTGAACCTCCTCTGGACCCGCTCCAGGGCCAATACATCCTTCCTGAGGTATGGGACCCAAAATTGCTCACAATATTCTAAATGTGGTCTGGCCAGAGCTTTATAAATCCTCAGAAGCACATCCCTGCTTTTATATTCTAGTCCTCTCAAGATAAATGCCAACATTGTATTTACCTTCCTAACTCCAACTCAACCTGCAAGTTTACCTTAAGAGTAACTTGGACTAGGACACCCAAGTCCCTTTGCAGTTCAGATTTCTGAATTTTCTCCCCATTTAAAAAATAGTCCATGCCTCTATTCTTCCTACCAAAGTGCATGACCTCACACTTCCCCATGTTGTACTCCATCTGCCACTTCTTTGCCCACTCTCCGAACCTGTCCAAATCTTTCTGCAGCCTCCCCGCCTCCTCAGTACTACCTGTCCTTCCACCTATTTTTGTATCATCTGCAAACTCAGCCAGAATGCCCTCAGCTCCTTCATCTAGATCATTAATATATAAATTGAAAAGTTGTGGTCCCAACACTGACCCTTGTGGAACACCACGAGTCACTGGCTGCCATCCTGAGAAAGACACTTTTATCCCCACTCTCTACTTTCTGCCAGACAGCCAGTCTTCTATCCATGCTAGTACCTTGCCTCTAACACCATGGGCTGTTATCTTACTCTGCAGCCTCCTGTGCAACACCTTATCAAAGGCCTTCTGGAAGTC